CGAGTCCGTGCGCGGCGCTGCACAGTGAGTCCCCGCGCGGCGCCGGCTCCGGGCCACGCGCGCTGCAGGCCCCGGGAGGCGGGCGGTCCCTCCCCGCTCTTGCCACCGCCCCCTCGGCGAGCGCCGGGTGCCAGCCGCGGGGTGGAGGAGCCCCTCGATGTCCCCGGCGTCCTCACGTCCCGGCGACGGCTGCCTGGGAAGGCCGGGTGGGCAGCGGGCAGGGAGGATGAGGCGAATCCACGCCTTCGCCCGGGCCAGGCCGCGCGGCGGAGGATCAAAGAGCTGGACGTGCCCTCCCCGCAGGTGAGGCGAGGGAACTCGGGGGCACCCCGCTGCCCTTCCTCTGCCCTGGCTTCCTTCCGGGCTGCGGTTTGGGGACTGCTCCCCGAGTGGGCACGCCCGGCCTCAGTGTCCCCGCCCACCCTGGAGCCCAAACTTCGAGCTTGGGGCTTGAGCTTAATGTGAAGAGGCTCCGCCACTGAACCCTGATGACAGAAGCGGGTAGGACTGGCTCAGTTGGCACCTGGCACGTGGAACTGGAAGAAACCCTTTTTCATTGGTATCTCCTATGTACATCCTACCAGTTGAGATAGGTCTGATTTCACAAACTCCTTAAAAACGCAAATGCTCTTTTTTAATCTATCAGTCTCCTACTCTATAAGTATAAAAATTTTCCCCAAGCCGGGCATGGTGGTGCACGCCTTAAATCCCAGCACTCGGGAGGCAGAGGCAAGCGGATCTCCCCTTGAATTTGACAGAATACCTTGTTAAGGGAGAAAGTAGTAGTTTGGGAACAGAACTGTGCTGAGGGGAGATGTTTAGGATGCCAGTAGAAATAAGGGAGCCATTCCTCTGGAGACAACTGAAGACATGGGGCAAGGGAAAAAAACAGCCATCCCAGCCCTAGATGGGGATTCCTCATCATGCCCCTTAAAGTCAAGGGTGGGTGCCCTTTTCAGAACCTCAGGCATCCATTCTCATCCCCCAGGGAATGGATCCATCAGAGAGTTGATCTGTCATTGCTGTTTGGGTGGGTGCCACTAATACTGTCTGAAAAACCCATCTCAGCCCACAATCCCCAGGGCTTTGTTTAGAAAGACAGGGATTTCTTCAAGTATACGAGCTTTTTTATCTAAATGAAAGCATCACCCTCATTGTTATACTTGTTGGGGGTCCAGAAAGTTATTTTGACTTGTTAAATGATGGTAAACAGCATGATTTTTACCTTTAACAAAGGGACATGCTGGGAGTACAACTCAGTTGGTAGAGTGCTTTCCTAGCAAGCATGAGGCCTGTAAGCCCATCAGCACCGAATAAACCAGGGGTGGTGCATGCCTATAATCCCAGCCAAACAGGACAGACAGAAGTTCAACGTCATCTTCATTTACATATCGAATCTGAGGCCAGCTGGGCCACACAAAATCTTCCATGTCTGGAAAATGAAAAGATGAGGTGGGACTGGACAGCTACGAATATAGCTAGGTGGTAGAGCGCTTGTCTAGTGTGTTCTAGAGCCTAGATTCAATCTTCAGTACCACAATCAATCAAAAGGCTGACAAATATCAAGTTAAGGTCTGCTTTGACACAGGGACACTCACCTGTATGAGTGAGTGTCACTCACTCTCTGTGAGTCCCCTCCTTTCCTGGCACATATGCCAACTCTTGGGGCTCTCAAGGGGAACCCCATTTTGCAAGGCCATGCCCTGCTTCTGAGCCCTGTCCTGAAGTTCCGTATTAGAGCTTCCACTCCCACCTGTGCCCCAGCTCTCCACCTTGTTTCATGAGGGGAGTAGGGTCCACACAAAGACACTCCTAGCCTCAGCATTGCTGCCCATCCCCTGTCCTTCCATTGTTCTCCCTGATGTGGGCTCCTGTTCACCTGGCATCTGCTAAGAGCCAGGCTGTCCATGAAGATCAGAAGAGCAAGCCTCACCCTCAGGCTACTGCCAGCTCTGCCAGGCACCACATCTACCAACACGGCAGACTCTTAGATAAACAAAGGTGATATTTGGAGGTGACTTTACAGTTGGACAGGGTTATTCAGGATGGGAAGGGAAGATCTGATTGGGCCTGAAAGTAGAACCTTCTAAGTCCCTGGAGCCACTTGGGCCAATCCTAGCAAAAGGAAAACTTGCAGCACAGCACCAAGCTTGCTCTGCATTCTGAGTCCGGGCATGTCCTTCCCTGTGGGTACAGGAAGCCAGTGGGTCATCTAAAGTCCCTGGTCTGGACTCTCTGGCAGCCAGATGCATGGGGTGAGCATTCTAGCATGGAAGTGCAGCGCCTCACCCACCCATGGAGATCAGGAACTCAGCTGTCTGATACACAGGGCCCCTGGCACCTAGTATAATAGATGCCCAAGCACAATGAATGGAGGAGAGAGCACTTTATAGGGGCGCTGGCTGCCCCAAGGCAACCATCAGGCCTCCTTTCCTGGTCCATCAAATGTCCCATCCCAAGGACATTTAAAACTAACCACTCTTAGGACTATGGATGTAGGTCAGTGGTTAGAGTGTTTGCCTAGCATTTGTCAAACTCTGGGTTGATCCCCAGTACCACACAAGTGGTGGTGCACACCTGTATTCCCAGTACTGGGGAAGTAAAGGCAGTAGGATCAGTTGCCCAAGGTCATCCTCAGCTAAAAAGCTAGTTTGAGGTTAGACTGAGCTACATGAGACTCTGTCTCAAAAATAAAAACTACGTGGGACATGGCAGTCCACACCTTTAATCCCAGCACTCAAGAGACAGAGGCAGGCAGATCTGGTCTACACGGTGAATTCCAGGTTGGCTGGGGCCATAAGGAGACCCTGTCTCAAACAAACAAACAAAAAAAAACCCCAAATAATAATATAACAACCACCCTTGAGGCTGGTGTAACCCAGTAGTAGAGCACTTGCTGGATGATGGGCTGGGTACTATTCTAGGTGATTTTCCCCCCTCAGACTTCCTTGAAGGAAGACAACTGTGTGAGCCAAAGGCAGGAGTAAGTCTTGATACCCCGACTATCCCAGCCTTGGCCCTATCCACAGGATAGACTGTGCTATGGGATAGTCTTTGCTGAAGACCTCCCATTTTATTTATATGATTCAAGGCTAAAGATGATTGCTGGGAATTGTTATTGGATAAACAAGAGTGGTTTGCCCCACCCCCCCAAGGGACAAGGTGGCTCCTGAATCTAGCAAACAATAGACTGAGTAGAGCTCTGGTGTCCCAGGGGAAGGGGAGGAGGGAGGAAAGAGGATCATTAGTTCCCCAGGGACCACCAGGAAGGCCCTGAAAGCAAAGTCAGGGCCTGCTAGGTGTTTTAATTAGGGGAAAAGATTGGGGGGGGGGTGTAACTTCTAAGGCTTGTGGAGGTGGGGTCCAGGGCATCTCAGAACATCCACTGGAGGGTTAAAGGGGTAGTCCTCCCTCCATCTTCTGCCATCCCCCTCTGGGCTACTGGGTGCCAAGCAGCCACTGCCTAGTTCCTCCAAGCTTGTGTGAGGGAAGCTGAGCAGGTGTGTGGGCAGGGACCAGAGACCCCCAGCACAGATACCTGGCCAGGTGCACACGCTGCCATGATAGGGACAGAGCAATGGGCTGGGAAGATGTGGATAGAGTGCTCCCCACAAGGCTCAGACTCCTCCTTAGCTGCCTCCAGCTCAGACTTCTGTCACCTGGAGGAGAGAGGCACTCAGGGGTCTGGGCATTTGGCCTTGGCACTGGCCTTGAGGCTAGAAGGAGACCTGTGTGTGACTGCCCCCAAGACTCTGTTCATATGAATGATCAGTGCACTGTGAATCTCCAGACAGAATCACTGTCAGAAAGGGTAAACAGGAACCAGGAATGCCAAATGGTGGCTCTGCCCTCCACCCATACTCCTGGTGGTATGGGTGGAGGCAGGACATTAGCTTGAGCAGGGAAGTTTAAGGCCAGCTTGGACAATACAGTAAGATCTTGAGGGGTAAGGGGGAGAACAAAATGGTTAGCGCAGAACAAATCAGGGGGAGCTCCAATCTGTCCAAAGCTGGATGGTGAGCAGCTCTGGCCACTCTGGTCCTGCCGTCAGTCAGCCTGAAGTCCCATCGATGGTTTGACCTGGGACTGTCTCTTAATGCCATTCCCATGGCAGCATCAGCCTATCGTCTGTTCTCACTTCTCTGTGTGAGAAAACGTGAGAGAAAGCATTGTGTGGGCATATGTGAGTGTTTGTATGAAAGAACACATGTGTGTGAGTATATGTGAGAGAAAATGTGTGTGAGCATGTATGAGAAAGCATGTGTGCGAGTCTGTGAGAAAGCATGTATATGATGAACATGTGAGAGGAAGCATGTGGGAGAGAAAGCATGTGTGGAAGAGGGCACGTGTGCAAGGGTACATGTGTGTGCACTTGGCATTTGTCTGAAAGCCTGGCTGGACCCCAGTCTCTCCTGCTCCTCACCCTCCCAGGCTTGGATGCTGTACTCACAGTCACTGCCCCCTGCCCCGCTATGTTTCCAGTCCCCTCTGTGGGCAGAAGCAAGTGCAGCTGAGACATTGGTGCACTGCTATTTCTCAGACAGGTTATATTTCTAAGTGTACCCATTTCAGGTAGATCTGTTTCCTCAGAAACAAAGTCTTCTGATCTCTCAAGCTCAGTCTTTGAAATAGAGCAGATACTCAATAACATGTTTAAATAAGTCAATTAAACACTAAACCAAGTCTGGTACTCAAACTTGTTGAGCCCCCCATGGGGCTTAGCCTTCCAAACAATGTTCACTGTTCTGCCCTCATTTTGGGGATTGTACTGCAAAGGTCCCTGTTTTACGGATGAGGAAACCCAGCTGAGACTTGAGGTAACTTGTTCCAGACCCCACAGTGCACTCCACACACCAGAGCAAGTAGGGCTGCAGTAGGAACTCCAGAAGCTTCCCTGATCAGCTTGTTCCTGTGTAACTGATGGCCAGAAAGCCTAGAGACCCCCAACACCATTCTGATGTGGCCTGGATCAAGGAAAGGAAGACACCTGCCCAGAACACAAACTGCCCTGAATGCTGAGTAATTCCAAGGCCTCTGTGGAAATGTTAGTTTCAACTGTTCTAGTCAGGGCCCTAGGGGAAGAGCACCATAGAAATGCACTAACTCTACCAGCCTGCCTCCGGGAGAGATAGCACAAAGAAAGAAAGAGTCTAGAAAGAAAGAAGCTAGGAATGCCCTCCCTAGAGGGAACAGATGAAGAGCCACCACACCAGGCTCTGTCCCTTGAGGCTCATCAAGTCCAATAGACTAACTGGCCAGTAAGCCCCAGGGATCCTCCATCTTCAACTTCCCATTGCTGGAAGTATACCTGCATGTCACCTTGCGCAGCTTTTTTATACAGTTCTGGGATTGAACTTAGGTTCTATGCTTACAAGCGTCATTGATTGAGCGATCTTCCCAGCCAGTGCTATGATAGTGCATAATATAAAACACAGTTTACCTTCACTTTGCAACTGTCCTCACATAACATTAATTACTTTTACTTAAAATCTGTAGTGTTTCGTTTTTGTCTGTTTGAGACAGAATCTCCTATGTACAGTCTCTCCCAGAGATCCTCCTGCCTTTGCCTCCAGGGCACTGGGATTAAAGGCATGTGCCATCACCCCAGCTATCTGTGGTGTTTTGAATGGTGTCCCCCCAGATATGTCCACATCCAAATCCATGGAACCCATGATTGAACTCTTTTGGAAAAAGAGTCTTTGCAAGTATAACTAAGTAAAGGATCTGGAAATCAGATCACACTGGATTACCAGGGAGGGCTCCAATGTAGTGACAGATGTCCTTATAGGAGACAGAGGAGGAGAGGATACGACACAGAGGCAGAGATGGGAGAGATGTATCCACAAGCCAAGGAACTCTAGGAGTCATCACACTCAGGAGAAGGTTAAGAAAGCTTTTTCCCCTCAAGCTTCCAGCAGGAGCAAGGCTCTGCTGGTACCCAGATTGCAGACTGCTGGCCTCCAGGGCTGTGAGGCAAGAAATGTCTTTGTCTAAAGCCAGCCTGTTTGTGTTAATTTGTTATGACAGCTGCAGGAAATCCGGGCAGGATCCAATTTTACATTTTTCACACCTGTATTTTAACACATACTAGAGCCTATTGTAATTGTAATGGTTATCACCCCACTCTCAGGAGCAAGGTCTTCATTCTCTCTACCTGCAGTGACAGCCTCTGATAGACTCTGAACCATTCTTTGTTAAGATTTTGGTTTTATTTTCTTGAGAAAGGGTCTCCCTGTAGACCCAACTGGCCTGGAACTTGCTATGTAGACTGGGCTGACCTTAATCTCAGAGATCTGCCTACCTCTGCCTCTGGAGTGCTGGGATTGAAGGTGTGTGCCACCACCCCTGGCATTAGATACATTTTTAAAAATCTGTCAGGGGTACCAGGTGTGGTGCACTCAAGAGGCAGAGGCAGGCAGATATCTGTGAGATGGAGACCAGTCTGGTCTCCATAGCGAGCCCAGGCCAGATGGGACTACAGGGAGACCCTGTCTCAAAAAGAAAAAAAAAAAAAAAAAAAAAAAAAAAAAAAAAAATCTGTCAGGGGCTAGTGAGACGACTCGCCTGGTAAAGCACCTGACTCATAAGCATAAGGATCTGAGTTCAGATCTCTAGAACCCACATTTAAAAAAAACAGGTACAGTGGTGAGAACTTTTAATCCCAGTGTATAGATGCCCTACAGCTCCTGAGCAGAACAGCTGGAGTCTCCTGGCTTCATTCTCAGCTTCTCAGAACTGTCAGCTGCAGGGCATCTACACCAGAGATGGCAAGATGGCGAGATGTGAGGCAGAGACAGGTGGATCCCTGGCGCTCACGTGCTACCTAGCAAAGTCTCCTTAGCAAAGTTCCAAAATAATGAGACTCTGTCTCAAGCAAAAGATGGAAGGAGCTTGAGAACCAACACCCAAGGTTGTTCTCTGACCTCCACACACATATGCACACATGCTAATGCACCCATATCCACCCGTGCACTCATAGGGACACACACATACACATACAAATTTAAAATAGTTAAGGGCTGGGAAGATGGCTCGGTGGGTGAAGTGCTTGCTGTACAAGCAGGAAGATTTGATCTTGGATCCCTAGCACCCACATAAAAGCTGAACATAGCAGCTGATCCTCATGACCCCAGAGATTTGGGAGAGTGGAGACAGACCCCTGGAGTTCATTGGTCAGCCATTCTAGCCAATCAGTGAACTCCATGTTCAGTGAGAGAAACTGTCTCAAAAACTAAAGTGGAGAGTGATAGAAGACACCTGATATCAACCTCTGAGTTCCAAATACACGTGCACACATGTGCATGTTCACCCACATATGTGCACAGACCCACAGAAATGGTAAAGGGGAGAGAGAGAGAGAGAGAGAGAGAGAGAGAGAGAGAGAGAGAGAGAGAGTTCAATTAAAACTTATTAGGGTATCCTGGGGCATGGTGAAAGATGGCAAAAAATTACAAAGTCTATGTGGTATTTCTTCCTTTTCACTGAAAGTGGTTTAATGTTTGTCTTTGTTTTTATCTTTAGAGGGATGCTCCATCACTAATTTAGTAAGTAATTTGAATCACAAAGGTCAACATCAGGTGTCCTCAATCATTCTCCATCATTTTTTTTCTTTTTTTGAGACAAGGTCTCTCACTGAACCTAAAGCATATCCATATGGCTAGGCTAACTGGCTGATGAGCTTCAGGAATCCACATGTCTGTCTGTCTCTCTCTCTCATACACATACATGCACACACAAACACACACAGCATGATGGGGTTACAGGCATGTTTTTTGTGCGGGTGATGGGGATTTGAATTCAGGTCCTTATGCTCACACATCAGGCACTTGACTAAGCCAAATGTTCCAGCCCCTTCATATCCATTTTTAAGGTACAAGACAAGATTTCAAGAAAAAAGACACAGTGGGTTTGTTGTGGTCAGAACTCACACCTCCAGGGAGTCTCCTCTGCCTGAAAGAAAGCTTGGAGATGTCCACACTCTTAGTCCAAGGACATTCAAGGACACACACTACCTCTCCCTATTCCCTGGCTCCAGAGTCACTGTCCTCTTCATAGACCAGAACACATCACCCTCTTTCCACTCTGTCTTTGCATAGACTGTCCCCTCAGCCTAGATTTCCCTTCCCCCTTTATCCACCTAAAAAACTTGAAGACCCTCTCTAGGTCACCTGCTCTGAGTTTCCTCTGATCCCCAGGCAAAGACCCTGGGGACTCCTATTGTGAGGAGAGTCCCCTTGTCTCTAAAGTGGAAAATGACAGCCAGGGCTCTGCTTTGTTTTGCATTTTAGCTGCTGATTCCCCTGTGCTTAGTGCCAAGTTGGCACCTGCTGAACGCATTCGTTTTCCATAGCTGCCACGGCAAATGTCTAGCTTGGCATCTGAACTATACAACTCAGCCTACTGATCTGAAGGCCAGCAACCTGAGCAGGCCTCCCTGAACTGGTGTTCAGGTATTGCCAGGCCTGGCTCAATCTTTCTTTGCTTTCCCTGGTTTCTGGAGGTACCCATGTTCCTTTAGTAGCCTGATCTCCGGGAGGCTTCCCATCTAAGGGCCCATGTGAAACTGAGTTTGCTGGCACATGCATGGAATCCCACCACTTTGGAGGTAGAAGCAGGATCAGAAGTTCAAGGCCAACCTTGGCTACATAGAGAGTTTAAGGCCAGCCTGGGCAACATGACATCCTGCCTCAAAAAAATAAGCAAATAAATCCAAGGGCCCATGTGATTAGATTGGACCCCAGGGTTTTCCCGGATGCTGTCCTCACCTCAGGGGTCCTTAACCTAATCACATTCAGAAAGTTCCTTTGTCATGTAAGACAATGTCATCAGTTTCTGGAGACCAGGGTGATGAATCTGGGGGGATGGGGGCATTATTCTGCCTAGTACAGCATGTTCCTAATATAACACCCAGGCTGCACTGATTAGAGAGTGAGCACCCATCATTCCTTCATTAGAATCTTCCTCAGGGGTAGGGAGACACTCAGTGGGTAAAGGTGCTCACCACACGAATCTGGTGACTTGAGTTTGATTCCTATATAAAGGTGGAAGGAGAGAAATGACTCCACAAAGTTGTCCTCTGCCATGTGTCCTTTACATGTATCATGGCATGCACACGCATCAGGCACATAATATAATAAATATTTTTTAAATCATCTCCAAATGTTTCAAATCCTTGTTGTAATACATGGGTGCCAGTATGTTAAATGTGGGTATAGTAAGGCATTTTATGAAAGGGAAGAGACTAGAAATTTTTTGAGGAAGGAAAGCTGTTAAAGGCATGCCCCTGACCATGGCTGTTCCCTCTTGTCACCTCTAGGTGGCTTTAATCTGCATCCAAATGAGGCATTCTTCATTCCAGAAGACTGGTTAGGAACAAGAGGCCACACAGAGCTGGCAGTTGGATGGATGCCTGAGAGTTTCTAAAACACCTCTATGATGGCTAATCTTGGTTGTCAACTTGACTAGAACTGGGATCAAGTGAAAGGCAAGCTTGTGTGGTATTTCCTTTGCTGATTCCAG